TCATCGAGTCCAACCATAAACCGTTCATCACCCTCCTGCTAAGCCATGTCCCCATGTGCCTCATCTGCACGTTGGGGAGACCCAGAATTGGGAAGCTAACTTCAGCTCTTCCCTGAGCAGGGGCTTCTCTACCACTTTGGGTTTAAGAAACTGTCCCTTTCCCCAACGGTATCGTGCTTGTTTCAGAGGCTGCTTGTTTGATACCACTGTTGAGTTATGTTCAGTTTTAGATGTTCTTAATGTAAACTGTAACAGTTACATTACTCGTAGTTAGCAGATCTGCAAAGTTACCGAGGCAGGATCATTTGCGATGTAAGCCTGGCTTCTGTTCTCTTCCAGAGGTCCTATGTGTGGATGTGTGTGTATATATATATCTCTATTGTGAAAAGAGACCTCTCAAAGAGAGCAGAGGCAGGGAATGGTGTTTCCAGAACTCTCCAGAGCGGCCTCCTGCTGCCCTCCTTTCCAAGCCAAGGAAGGACGGGTGCCAGATTCCAAACCTGAGGGCCCCCCCCTGCTCCGGTAGAGCCACTGCTTTCCCTGGGCTCCATTTCGTGCCGGCGCACTCGATACCTGCTGCTGTAATCCCGGGAAGCCGTGGCTCTTGCCGGGGCTGCAGCTCCTCATGCACCTTTCCTCTTCCGAGTCCTCTTGATCCAACTCGCGTAGCCTTATGTGGGCAGGGCTGAGGCTGAAGCTGCGGCAGTAGCCGGCCGCAGGCGAGCAGGGAGCTGCTGGGTTTGGGGTGGAGCGCTGGGAATACAGCGGGATCGCTCTGCTGCTCCAGCAGCTCCAGCAGCTCTTCGTGTCGTCACACCGGTCCTTTGCTCTTCTGTCAGCTGCCGCCTTTTATCTCTTGTTGGTTAATTACTTTATGCTAAGCACATACGGGTGATAAATATTCATGGCTTGTCGTACTGAGGCTGTGTAACTGTAAATGCTCTCTGGCCACTTTGTGGTCTGCACGTTTTCCATTCAGCTCTACGTGTGGGTGTTTTTTGCATCCCTTAGTGAACTGTGGCCATTCTTCTGCTTAATCTGGTGTCTTATTTGCTTATCACTCATTATCAAGTGCCCTCCTGCCTCAGTTGTACATGCACAGTAACCATTATCATACCTGTTCTTTTAGCTTAGCTTTGCTTTAGCATACGTCAAAAAAATAATGCAGTTTTGGATGACTGATTTTCCGTGCTGCTTTGCCTTCCATACAGCTGATTTGATGTCTTGAGAGATGTGGGTTTTTTGGTTTTTTTTGTCTACGTCACCATGAAAATGATTTGGCTTTTCCCCCCGCTAGCAAGATGTGCAGCACCTCTCCATTAAAACAACTTTTTGGCTCACAAGGCAAGCAAAACTCTGCATGGAAGGAGGACACCTCTGTCTGCTCCTTCATTGGAGCTGGTCAGACTGCTCCCATTTTTTTAAAACAAGGATGATCTTGGATTTTTCTGTGAATTGGCACATATACTGACTGTTTCCCCTGAATTCTGAGGTTATCTTGGTTCTTGGAGACTTTATCTCACTCAAGAGCTATTTTTAGGGCTCTGTCCTGAGCTGTCTTACAAATTACTCTGACCCTTCAGAGTTTTGATGACAAGTCTGAAGAGTGAGTTATTCTCTTCTGAAGGCTCTGCAGCTGGATGAACTGCTGCATTAAGGCTGCTGACTCAAAAGATAAGTGGGCTTTTCCCTTTCAAGCTAAGGCGTGTTATGCCAAGGGCTACATGTCTTCCTTTTATGCAGTCCTTATTTCTGCGGTGCTACAAACTACCTGCTTGGAGCATCAGCTCATGTTCAGTCCATTGCCAGTGCTGCTGTCGCCTCTTGCTGGAGAGCTCCCTGTTGACAGAGCTGCCCTGAGGTCTTTATTTTGATGGAGGAGGGGAAGGCTGAATAAGCAGCCATTATTTGTCCTTTGACAGTGAGCACATGCTTGGTGGGGAAGAAAAAATATGTAGCCTTTCTTTTGTTCCTGTGTGTTTTAGGATCCCGCCGCGGTTTCTGCTGGTGGGAGTCCCTCACCACATGTTAGTGTTAACCAGCAGCTCAGGGCGCTGCTGGACAGGTCTTGTCCTGCCCGTGCCAGCGCAGGAGGATGCCCGAGGGCAGCGCACGGCACTGCTGAGTAACTGCCCGTGCTGTGGGCACGTGTACACAGACTGTGTGGGCAGGGTCGGCTCCCTTGCTGCTCGCTTGGGCATTTGCAGCAAGATCCCCTGCTGTGATGGCCCTTCTCTGGAGACACCCTGTCCCCAGGGCGGCTCGTGTGGCACTTTGTGGTTTGCAAAGCAGTGGCCGTTGCAGCACCCCAATGAGTTGCTTGTGTGTGTCTTCAGTTACAGAGGAGAAGAAGTCTTTAAAGAGGACTTTTCAGCAAATACAGGAGGAGGAAGATGATGATTACCCCGGGAGCTACTCGCCCCAAGACCCTAGTGCTGGGCCGCTTCTGGTATGTCTGGAGGATTGAGGGGGGGAAACGTTGGCAAAGTGCCCTCCTGTGTGGGACAGCCACGAGGTGGAGCCGCCAGCAAGTGAAAATGCCTTCACGGGAGGAATTCACGTGGGGGGGCGCGAAGTCGGTTCGAAATGGAGGAGATTCTTGGCTTGTTCATATTAAAACACTGCAGAACCTCCGAACAATCAGTGGGGTAAGCAAAGGCTGCAGAGTGCCAGCAGTGAAGAGGTCAATGGGCAGCTAGAAGAACAGGCCCTGCTCTAAGGGCCTCCTGAGATCGGGGGTGATCTCTCAAACCCAAGTTGTAGCTGTTAAAAGTAATTTTTCTTAGGACATATATCTCTATATATGTATTAAAAAGCTCAGGCAGGTTTGCGTGGAGTTGGTTACAAAAATCAATTTCAAAGACTTTATTTTAAGGCTGACATGTTAGTGATGTGTTAGCAATGGGAACAGGATAAGGAGGATCATTTTGACTATTTAAGGCTGCAAACTAAACATGTTAAACCATTGTCTATTTGAAAAGATAAAAAGTTACACCATCCATCTGGTAGACTGTAAACATTGACAAATAAATTACAACTGTCAAGGAATTGAGTGGAGCTTTTTGTTTTTACCTCCAGATGCATTGCAGCTTGTGGTTTCTCTTGATGGTAGGCACTGTGTTTGTTACTATTGGAAATCATAGTAGTTTTGCAAAGAAGCAAATATTGGGCAGGCAATGGACGTCTTTACTTTTGTGATAAAACTGCAAGACTTCCATATATATTTATTTAAAATATTTTTTTCAATGGTTTCATTAAGTTTCAAACTTAAGTATTAAATTTGAATTCAAAAATCAGTGTTGCTTAGAGGAGTAGCCTTCCAGCTTCAAAAACCACATCTAAGACCCTGGGTGGTCTTCTAAGACACAAAAGGGCATTTCAAGGAATCTCCCTTTCTTTCTTTCTTTTTCTTTTTTGGGAGCAGGGAGGAGGGCAGGGGTGACGTGGGTGAGGAGAGGTCCCTCTCAGGCAGTGCTCGTCCAGGGGGACCTTTAGAGTGTGTTTGTTTATACTGATGTGTTTTTCCTCAATGTCCTGGGAATAGCTGGAAAATTGAATTACTGGGATACAGCAACTCAGCTTCTGAAGAGCCCGTTTAGCTAGATGAGGAATGTCAGTGGCTTTACTAAAGAGGACAATATAAAGTCTCCTCTAGTGGGAGTATTTCTCATTGTCTTAAAGCTTTATAGTAGGTAACAAGCTAAAACTTGCAGTTCTCACAAGCTGGCTGTTGTTTAGCTTGATCTAAATTTTTCTTGCTTTCTCAGATTCAACCTGTGGGGTTGAACAGAAGGTCAGCTTCTGTTAGTCTAATAGAAAGTGTCAAGGAAGTATTCAAGATTAAAACAAGCAGACTAAATCTGATGCCAAACCAAGGACTGATGGTTTTTTCTCAGATTGGTGGTGGCCTTTTCAGCTTTTGACTTACATGATCTCTGAATTGGAATGAAGAGTTTTTAAATGAAGGGTTTTGAGTAATGTCATAATTATACATAAATTAATAAATATTAGGATATTGTAAACTTAGTGAACACTCTGTGTATTAGCAAGAAAGTGTTTAAAAATTAACTGAAAAAAAATGCTCCAGTAATGGTTGCTTTCCAAGGTGAGTGACCTCAGAGGAGGGTAATGCAGTGTCCGTGTCCGCAGGAAATAGCACAGAAGTTACTGCTCCTAATGACAGCCTGCTTGTCTTTCCATGTGGTAGACTGAGGATTTGATCAAAGCCCTGCAAGACTTGGAGAATGCGGCGTCGGGAGATGCAACAGTGCGGCAGAAAATTGCCTCCCTGCCTCAGGAAGTTCAAGATGTTTCATTACTGGAGAAAATTACAGGTATGAAACTTGAACGTGATTGAAAATGGGTCCAAAGAATAACTTAAAGATGTTTGATTTCTACATAAAAGGAATAAATTTCTTTATTTTTCTGTGCTTATTTTCTAATTCTTGGGTAGTTATTAGATCATGACCCTATGAAATATAATTGAAGATGAAATTTATACACCTTCTTCCATTTTTTTTGGGGCTTAGACCAATCTTCACATTTACAAAGGTTTTTTTGTGCTCGAGAACATCAACAGCATTTTGCAAGAATGTAGAGGGAATAGAGGCAGAGTTCTGAAATGGATGTGTTTGACTTCTGAACACCTGGACTATGAGGCATTATAATGGGCTTAATCAGGCTGTGCTCACTACACACGTACTCCTTCATGGCTGCAGAAAAATAAATTCACTGCTCCCAGGAGTCTGACAGTCGTTTTTTAAACTGACTTTTGCAGTTATATTTTAAAGGTGATCTTAAAGGTTTAATTGATTTGACTGTTGTTCCTGAAAGTAGTTGAATTTAGAACTCATTATGAAGTGTCACTTGTTCAGTTCTTTATAATACATTATTGCTACGTTCTGTTGTGAATACTAGCATGCAGTTTGTATGTTTGTCCGTATGGATATGTTAGCAGGCAATGAGAGAACAGAGGAAATAAAAAGTCCCTACCATATTTAAATGTTAAAGCCCCCTGATTTAAATAAATCCTGAAAGTGCAGCCTAAAATTCTAGTTTTAGTAGTCTGTTTTAAGAATAACATTGTAGATATGTTTTCCTATCTAATCAGGGACATCTCTGCAAGAACAAAATAGTCATTTACACGTCTGAAAAACACTGCTCTCAATTTGTTAGTCTTGCCTATTTTCTTTATGGTGCTTGTGATAAGAAAACGGAATTCTTATCAAGCCAGGCCTGTATTTACGAAAGCAATGCTATTGTACATGGTGAATTATAGCCCTCTGTAAGAGAGGAAATGTTTTCAACCTTGTCCTGCGAATTCCCGGCTGCTCTTGCTCGCAGACAAGGAGGCCGCGGAGCGTCTCTCGAAGACGGTGGACGAGGCGTGCCTGCTGCTGGCCGAGTACAACGGGCGCCTGGCCGCCGAGCTGGAGGACCGGCGCCAGCTCGCGCGCATGCTCATCGAGTACACGCAGAACCAGAAGGACGTGCTGACGGAGAAGGAGAAAAAGCTGGAAGTGAGTACCGAGTTCGGAGCAGTGCCGGCAAACACGGGCTCAGCAAATACTTCCACTTGACGCCTAAGGAAGGTGTTTCTGTCGAGGAAGGTGATTCTAGGAGTCATTTTTCCCTTTGGAGTAAAATGGGTGTAAAGAAGCAAAGTAAAAACCCTGAAGAAAACAAATCAGTCCAAGACGTTTTACTGCATGTGGATGTGGAAAACCCAGATCTTAAAGCTTTGTAATAGAAAATACTTGTTTAACAAGCCCATTTGTTTGGTTCAGATCCCCTCACCTTTTTCTAATTGAAATTCCCTTTTCCAAAAAGTCAAGCTCTCGATACCATAAGCAGTTGATTATTCTCTTTCTGTGATCCTTTTGTTTGTTTTTTGTTTTTTCTTTTGTCCTTTGCCCGTACTTGGATGCCTTTCATCTCTTCCCAGGCCCTAATTGATAAGCAGCCGCAACTTAAACAAGCTCTTCTGGCATCCTTTAACAGCTGCTTTTACCGACAAGTTCTGGATTCGAGTATAAATTGGGCTGATATCAAAAGTTGCTACCTTGGCCTTCCATGCTGTAACCCTCATGGGAAGGGAGGTCAGGACAGCGTGGAAAAACGAGGCCAGCTGGGTCCCGGAGCGGGCACAGCGGGCGCGTGGCCCTTCAGCCCTTCCTGGGGGTTTCTCTCCACCACACTGGGATGCCTTGGGCACTTCAGTTAAGGGTTTGGGCCGTGTCGCTGCCAGCTGTTAATCAGCTGCCCCTTGGCAGCTCGTTAAGGGATTTCCCTGGCTGTTTGTGATGAGCAGTGGTTGGGTGGGTCATGCTGCTGCGGAGGGTTCCTGGAAGGAGCCTGCTGTCGTGATTGCACGTTCTGTCGTGACGGACCTCGCCGCGGCCTTGCTTAGATACACTGCATTTGGGGTGCATTTCTGTAGCGTGACTCTGTGCTGCACTCTGTGAATGTCTTGTAATTGTGAGCGCGTTGCCTTTCCGCATTTGAGATTGGAAAGACAAGTGCTGATGTTTTGCTCAGAATCAGTATTAATAGCTAATAATTCTATCAGATTTTTTTTAGCTTAAATTTCTTCAAGTGTGTCTGTCTTACGGTTGACTCATTAAAAGGTACTTTCAGGCATGGATATGGCAGGTGTGATGTTTGGCAGTGATTTATTTGCTGAATTCTAGTGCAAGTCTTGGGTTGAGTTTTTTCTTTCTGAAAAAAGACACCTGTGTAGGAGGAGCAGATTTATGATAGACTTAATCTCTTGAAAAGCAAGGAATGGGTAGCAAAATGCTGCACAGACTTGTTAAGAGGCATAGAGCAATTGATAAGTTTAGTCAGGTTGAGGATATGCAAAATTAAGTTACAATGTTAAATTAAAATTTCTAAAACAAAAACTCATTGAAATGGTGTGATGTGTATTGTTTTTCCAATTCTACTTTTGGTAAGGAATGTTGTTTAAAACATGTTATTGAGGCAAAGTTGCACATTCAGCTGGTGGGGAGATGAACTGCGCTGCTTTGTTCCCAGGAATAATCCCGTTGCTGGTGCGGGGCAGTTGCTTGTGTGCTGCTAGGTGCAAAGGTGCCGCTCGGTGTCTCTGGAATCAAACAGTGGCTTGGGGATAGCAGCTTCCTGGCTGCACCTAAACGAGGAGGCCGCAGTTCTGTATGAGCTGGAGGAAAAGCCACTCCTAGGAACTTAAGGAAAAATTTCTTAGCAGTGAGGGTGACAGAGCCCTGGAACAGGCTGCCCAGAGAGGTTGTGGAGTCTCCTTCTCTGGAGATCTTCAAAACCCGCTTGGACACAGTCCTGTGCCACGTGCTCTAGGTGACCCTGCGTGTGCAGAGGGTTGGACTAGATGATCTCTAGAGGTCCCTTCCAACCTTAAGCATTCTATGATTCTATAATTCTAAATACTTAACCCGAGGGCGCAGCTCGCACTCACTTGGAGCAGCGGGTCCTTGCTGAGCAGTATTGCCCGGTTCAAGCACTCCTGTTCTTGACTTGCAGAGGGTTAAGAAACGGAGGAAGATGATGGTTGCAGATAGGAGGTGCTCTATCTGCTGATCGCTTTTGCTCGAGTCTTTGATGTTCTGACAGCAGCGCTGCTGATAAGGGCTCTGATTTCCCTCTATAGTGCTAATAAGCATTTTAATAGAAGCATCCAAAGTCTTGCAGCAATTAGGAAATGTATTTGAAAAAAATTACTTAGCAAAGACTGAAAGAAGAAAATAATCTAATTTTGAATATCTTTTCAGAGCACGTTTGGGTCTCTCGAGAGATGTTCCGTAATCCTTGGCACTGCTGGCTGTAACTCTTCCCTTCTCTGGTGCAGTTGCCTCCTGACCCTGCACTGAGGGAGCGTTTCAGCTGTAGATGGATCGTGTTCTTCCATAAGCACCTTGTTGCAGTGAAGCCCCCTGGATAGGAGGCAGAGGCTCCTACTTAGCAGTATGAATCTCAGGGCTTTATTGTAAGATGTGAAAAATGGACGATTCAAAACATCCCTGGGTATTTGTTGCACCGTAACTCTGGGGCATAAAACTCTTGTCAGCAGCGGCAGAAAGGCAGTTTATCAAGGAGCAGTATCCTGAGAAGGATGATGTGGGGCACTGAGCCCCAGCTGGGAGCTGGGGAAGGTTGGCACGAGTCGGGATCCAGGTGGTCCGATGGGTGGAAACGGGAGCAGGTGGAGGGGCCTGGAGGTTAGAGCAGCCAAAGCCTTCCCTGAGCGGAGCAATTCCCTGGCAGCAGCTGGATGATCCTGAGTGCGATAATGCGGGTTACTTTTCTGAGAAGGGATCCTGATGGCTCGGCCGTAGTTTAGAAGCACTTACGGGAAAGGAAAGGAAATTCCTTTTATCTGGGAATTGCCTGTGGAGCAAATCGACTTGACCAAAGCGGAGTATAACAAGGCACACATTTAAAGAGTAAATATTATCTTCAGTGACTTTACTGAAAGCCCTCGTGTCTCCCATCGATGCCACTCGGCACGGCCGCTCTTGGATCCCAGATCCACCGAGATTCTCGCACCAGGCGGAAGGCACTAAAGCCCATTTCCAAGTGCAGCGTAGGAACAAGAACTGGTCCTGCTAGAAAGGATGAGATAAAGCACTGACTGCTCTGCTGGGAGTGTTTAGCTCCAGTACGAGTTCGGTGCCGTGTTATTCCTGGCCATCGCTGACCCTGCTGGGCCCCCGCAGCTTGCAGGGCTTCTCATCCTGGAGCACCCACGTCTGCGCAGGGCGCTGGGGAAGGGCTGGCTCTGGAGGCCGCGTGCTCGTTTTGTGGATGCGTGGCAGGCAAAGAGGGGGGAAAATCCAGGGAATCCGTCTGGATAGAGTAGCAGCGTGGGAGAGAGATTTGCAGAGGGAAACTTCCATTTTGGTGTACTAAATGAGTGGAAAATGAAGTCAGCTAAGTAGATGAGACCAGGAAAAATAAGTGAAAGCAGTACCAGAATTTTTCTGATTGTTTGCTGAAAAAAACAAGCAAACAAAACAACTTAGAATCTCACAGAGAGCTGTGCATTCTGTTTTTTCTTTTTTAATATTTGATGGTTTCAGTGCACTTTTAACGCACCTTCTTGAAGCTGGAGTACCTCAGCTCCACTGCTGCTTTTTTTGCTGCTGTGAGAGCCTGATTCCCATGTTAACATTTATTCCCAGCCCGCGTTCGAGGCGTGTTCTTCTGTGCTGGATCCACAGAATGGATCCAGCCTTCCTGCTGGGAGCAGCGCGGACAGCCCAGAGCAGCTCAC